TTCCTCCAATTAACATGAGTCCAGGGGGAGGACCTTTTTCCTGTGGTAAGAACAAGACCTTTTCTCCCAGTCCTACTTGGTAGAGACACTTCCTGAGGAAACCTCCACCTAATGGACCCTCAGCAGCTTCCTTCATATGCATGGAGCTGGTTGGGAGTGGTACTGTAAGGATAGGGGACTTTGTGACTACTTCCCAAGTTCAGAGATGTATTGCCATCTTAAAGGATGGAGAATGGAACAGCTCCAAGCTTTACCAAAGTTATAGGTGTGTGGAAGGAAGCCTCATTATCTGAAGCGTGGAAGGACGGTTAGGATGGAGCCTGGGTAGGTGGTTTTGGCTGTTGTTAGGCGCTGTTGAACTGAGTATGACTCAAAGTGACTCTATGAACAACAGATCTGAACCCTGTCCTACCCTTCACCATCCCCACAATCTCTGACAAACTTGAGCACACTGCTGCAGTCACTGTGTCAATCCACCTGGTTGAAACCTTCACCATCCCTCCACCTTCCCAAGGATGAAGTCCCTCTAGCCTTACCTAATAACATGCCCAAGTACATGAAATGAAGCTTAATCATCTCTGCCTCTGAGGATGGCTCTGACTGCACCTTCTATAAAACATGTTTGTTCTTTTGCAGGCCATAGGATATTCTTCTTCAATACCACAGCTCAAAGAGATCAATAATTCTTCTCTCATCTTTTTTTTTTTCATTTTCCAGCTCTCACCAGCATTGCAAGTGATTGAAAAGATCATGCCTGAATTAGGCACACTTCAGTCCTCAAACTAATATCATTGCTCCTCAATAATTTGGAGAGGTCCCTACCTGCAGATTTTCCCAGTGTATTATGTCTCCTGACCTCCTGACTGCTGTTACCAAGTTTATTGACTGTGAATACAAGTAAGACGATAGTTTCAATCTTTTCTCTATCTATCATGACGTTGCCTATCAGTCCAGTGGTGAGGATTTTTGTTTCCTTGACATTAAGATGCAATCCATATTGAAGCCTATAGATATTTTCTTCTGCAGCAAACACTTCTAGTTCTTCTTTCAACAAGCAAGGTTATGTCATCTGCATAATGCAGTCTGCCTCTGAGCCTGATGCCACATTTTTCTTCATAAACCCAGCTTCTGGAATAATTTGCTAGCATAGATTAGATATGGAGAATGGATACAACACTGATGTACACCTTTCTTATTTTAAACCATATAGTGTTCCCTTGCTCTGTTCACACAACAGCCTCTTGATCTAAGTATAGGATTCACATAAGCAAAATTAGATGTTGTGAGATTCCCATTCTTCTCAATGTTAGCAATCATGTTACACAGTCACATGCCTTTGTATTAATAAAGCACAAACATTCTTCTGGTATTCTTCACTTTCAGCCAGGATCCATCTGACATCAGAAATAGTATCTCTGGTGCTACGGTCTCCGCTAAATCAAGCTTGAACGCCTTGGCAGTTCTCTCCATACTAGTTCTAGCCATTTTTAAGTTATCAGGCCTGGGAAGGAAGGGCCTGTAAAGATAGTATGCCTCTAATTTGCTGAAGCTTTTGACAGAACAAAATAAGCACAAACTATGAAATATAAGAGGTCAGCAGTGCAACAAGTACAACCGCCTTTCTAGGCAGTTTTTGGGACTTCCACACAATGACCAGACAGGACCATGCAAATAAGACACATGAAACCTGTGATCACTGGGAGTAGATACATTGGCTAGGCAATACTTCCATGTACTGTGTGGTGGTGGTCCTCCAATTTATTGTTACTGTACAAGCTCCTATTTTATTCTCAGCAGGTTTTTAGAGGCAATAAACTGCATGGGAGGTTGCCTATTCTCCTTCTGTGCAACAGATGGTAAATTTAAATGTGTACCTTTGGGATTGCAGCACAACTTCTTACCACTAGGCCACCAGATCTCCTGATGTAATTGTCCTCCATTGTATATACTGTAAATTCTATGTATTAATGAATAGGGTTATGTTATGTAAATGAACACTTGGTTATCTGTTATGCTAATAAACCAAGATTAGAATGGATATACTCAAGCCACCACCTGTCACCATTCTTGCTTGAATCATATCTTTTATCTCAGAAGAAGAGAAATCAAAGAGGGTGTGACTCATCACAAGAAAGGGATGTAAAGTGTGCCCTCTGGACCTGAGGTCCTTTTTGGGACCCTTCTAGACACAGGTTAGTTGTAACATCAGAGATGGCAAACAGCAGAGGCGGAGAATTGACAGCACAGAACCAGAATGGCAAGAGATGGCATGGTGGGCTTCCCAGCCCAGACTGACTGAGCTAAGTATCCTCACATCAAGGCTTACTGGTGGAGAGGTTTCATAGAGCTAAAGAACTTTGTGATACTTATTCAGGAAGGCTCTGAGTACGGCTCATTTATAGAGGACAAGAGGCAGTCCTGATCAAAGAACTGTATTCTGAATGATGTTGAACCCTAAATAGTAACCTAACAAACCCTATAATCACAAATATGATGAGTGTGGTCACTGTAACAAATTATCAAATCCAGAAGAGAAACTGATAATCTGTGAGGGTGATGGCAGTACCAACACTAAAAAGTTTGGAGAAAAGACCTTCTCTGCTTATAGCAATCAGCCTTGGGCTGTTGATAGTGATGATTCTCCTCCCTTCAATATAGATGGAAGGTTTGAGCTGCCATTAAGCTGTTGTTTTTTTTCAGCTGGCTTACACACTGTCATAATACTTAGACTAAAAATGAAGGGAACAAAGGGGGATTCCCCACTGAATAGAGCCCTTTTCTTGATGAGACTGGGGAAGAAAGGGTAGGGGGAAGATGCTGATATGAATATACAATTCAGGTGAATGCTGGTTGTTAACAGGGTTCTGACTGTAAAAACTGTTAACTGTAGAGGCAAATAACTAGGAAAAGAGTGGACTAAGGCACAGGGACTGTACTTGTACCAAAGTACAGTCTTCACTCCAGGGGCTGAAACTAAAATCTAAAAGATTTTGCTATGCTTGATACCAATGCTTGACTAAGGCTCAGCACACAGAACAATCTTCTCTGAGGTCAGTATTATCAGAGGACAGAGAGTATGACGCTATGGTAATATGTGAAGAACCTGGCTAGATCAAACGTGCAACTACAGAAGCACGTCTGATTCCCTGGTACTCAAGCCACTTTACCTTGAGACTCTTCTACCCTACTGAACAATTTTTGTTATGTGTCATCAAGTCTCTTTCTACGCCTAGTGACCCTATGTAAAATAGCCCTAAACCTTGCTCTATCCTGTTCCAGTCTTATTGTCTCTGATACCCCTGTCACCCCAGTCACTGAATCAAACCATCTCATCTAGGGCCTTCCTCTCTTGCATTGTCCCTCTACCCTCCCAAGCAGGACGTACCTCTTCAAGGAATGGTCCCTCCTTGCAACATGCCCAAAGTATGTCAGACAAAGCTTCAGAATCCTTGCCTCCAAGAAGCAGCCTGGTTTCACCCTCTCCAGGATAAACTTGTTTGTTCTCCCAACAATCCATGGTATATTCAATACTTTTCTCCAACACAGCTCAAAGGCATTAATTCTCCTTCTATCATCCCTAGTTATTGTCCAGCTCTCTGATGCACAGCAAATAATTGCAAAGATCATGGCCTGAAAGAGGCACACCTTAGTCTTCAGACTGACATTGTTGCTCTTCAACCTCTTTGGAGAGGTCTCTGACAGCACACTTTCCCTAAGTAATAATCTTTTTTTAATTTCCTGGCTGCTGATACCAAGAGTGTTGATTGTGGAGCCAAGTAAACTGATGCTGTTAACAATCTCAATTTCTTCATCATCTATCATGATGCTGCCAATCAGTCCAGCGGTGAGAATCTTTGTTTTCTTGATGTTGAGCTTCAATCCATATTGAAGACCGCAGTCCTTGCCCATCTGTAGCAAGCACTTCAGGTCCTCCTCAGTTTCAGCAAGCAGGGTTGTAGCATCTGCATAATGCAGATTGTTGATGAGTCTTCCTCCAATCCTGATGCCACATTTCTCCTCAAAGAGCCAAACTTCCCAGATAATCTGTTCTGCATATAGATTGAATAGGTATGGTGATAGGACACATCCCTGGCATACAGCCTTCCCAATTTTGAACCATGGAGTGTTTCTTGCTCTGTTCTGATGACTGTCTCCTGGTCCAAGTATAGGTTTCACAATTAACTAATTATTAGTGATTGTTCTGGACTGAAATGTACTGGGAGGAAAAAGTTAATCTTTCAGGATGAAAGAGTCAAAAACTATAAAAGCCAGGGGGTAGCCTGTAAATTACTTAATATGACCTTCTAGCCATAGTCTTTGTGATTCTTACACAATTATTAGATGAGACAATGAAAATACAGTAATGGAGACTGTAATGGTTGGGATTATATGTCACCTTGGTTGGGCCATGATTATGTTCTGTGTGGTCATTGCAATGAATTATCTGTCAGAGAAACAGAGAGTACTGTGAGAAGGACAGTTGTGTAGAAACTGGTGAAAAGGTTAGCAAGTAGGTATGTCTGAGATTTACTCCAGCAACAGCAATAGCAATAGCAGGTATATCTGACCTTTACTTCAGCAATAGCAATCAGCCTAGAGCTGCTTCTGCTAATGATTGTCTGCCTCCTTGCGAAGTTAGTTGGAGCTGTTGTCACGTCATTTTCAAAAGGTCTAGATCTTGTGTCCATTAGCTTTCTCTGGCATGAAACACCGTCAGCTAAGTCCTGGTTCATAGACTGTGGAGGGCTGTGGGCAGAAGTGGCTGCAAAAACTCATTTATTGAATGCCTATATCATGTACCACAAATTTTACATTCATTTTCTCACTTTAAGCCTCATGATTTTGAAGTAGGTGTTAATATTTCCATTTTACAGAAGAGAATAAAAAGTTCACAAAAATTAGATCCTTTGTCCAAGAATGAACAGCTAGTCAGGAGTGGAGCCGGAAGTTGGTCTGTTGCCAAAATCCTGTGAGGTTTTTTTGGTGTGTTGTGTTTTGTTTTGTTTTTATTATACCCATCTTTATCAGAGTTCAGCAAAAGGTCATTAACTGCATTGCCCTGCTTGGCAAAGAACGTCTGGGATTGAAGTTTCTGGCCACATTCACACTCACCGCTGGTAGGGATGCATTGATGCTGACTTGATGTTGGTTTTTATTCCACTTGGCATTTTTCCTAAAGGGAATAAGTGAAAGACACCTGAAGCAAGGTAGATAAATATTCACGACACATCTCTCAAGTTCTCTACGTTCTTCCACCTTCCCTGGACCTCTGCGGCACCTGACTGTGGGGAGCACAAATTTTAGTGAACAGAAGCGTGGTTCCTTCCCCAGATATCTCCTCCAAAGCAGGTGACTGGGAAGGAGGAGATGGTAAAGAGGAAGCAGGAGCAGTAAAGGGGAATAGTGGGAAGTGAAAAGTACTCCAGCAGAGATTGCTGCTCATTTACCCTTGGAGAGCTAACTCTTTGTGACCCCACTCACCTGCAATACCACAGGCAGAAGGGTACTATGTTCTTTCTTACTTCAATTGTCCCTTTTTCTGGACACTTTGGGAGAAAAATTTCTTTTGGTTGACCGCATCGGAACCACCTCAGCTCTCTTAATTACAAAAATGTGAGGAGGACAGAAGGCAAGTGTCCAAAAGTAGGAGAGTCAGTATACAGAGAAGAGAATACAAATAGACTGGTAAACTTGCTGTCTTGCCAATTCTTGATGTAATTCCTACTAAATGGCCTTGAGGCCTGAGCATTGGTTTGGTTTTTTAATTGATTGGAATGAAAGTTTACAAAGCTAATGGGTTTTCCATTTAACCATTCATACACATTTTGTCTTATGTAACTACAATATCCACAGTGCAACTACACACTTCTTAAATGTTCCCAATGATTTTCATTTCCATGAATCCTTCTTTCTGTCTTGCTCTGTGAGCTCTATCTTCAAGTGGATACTGCCCTTTTGACCTTACGTGGTCCCTCTCTGGTTTTATTGTTTTCCTTCTAACAGGCCTATCTACTGTTTGGTTCAAAATTGAACCATAAATAGTTGCACCTAAAAGTTATACCAGGTTCAAAACATGACTAACGGCCATAGTCTTGGGGATTCCACCAATCTATTGGATGATTTTTAAGTTTTCAGTCTTGTCCCACATTATTTCACTCACTTTATTTGTGACCTTCTACTATCACCCCTTTTAGCAGTGGTAATCAAGCACTATCTAGTTCTTCTGGCCTTAGGGTTGTGGAGGTTAAAGTTCATGTAGTCCATTAGTCCTCTGGACTAATTAATTCTATGTATCTAGCTTTTTTTACCCTTCTTCTTTTTTCCAGACAGGGATGTGTACAAGTTTTTAAGACTCTAGTTGCTACTCACCAAAGTAGGATGTGGAAGAGTATCTTTGTGGACTACAGTATGCCAATTGACCTTAATTCTCAAGTATATTGATCACTATTTTATTAAACTAAGAAAAAAACACTATAAAAATAACTATGAGATATCATCTCACCCCAGTAGCAACACCAAAGTTTAACAGAGCAGCAAACAACAAATGCTGGCGAGACTGGAACATTTATTTACTACTGGTCTGAGTGTAATATGGTGCAACCACTATGGAAGGTGGTATGGCACCTTCTCAGAAAGGTGGAAATAGAAATACCATTTGACCCAGCAATTCCACTACTAGGAATATACCCTAAAGAAACCAAAGTTTCCACTCAAACAGATACATGCATGCTCACATTTATCGCTGTGCTATTCACAATAATAAAGGGATGGAAGCAACCAAAGTGCCCACCAACAAAAGGATGGATAGAAAAACTATGGTATATTCACACAATGGAATAGTATGCAGCACTGAAAAACAAAAAACTCATGGGTGACCCTGAGGACATTATGCTGAGTGAAATAGCTGTTACAAAAGGTCAAATACTGCATAATGCCACTGTTATAAAATAGAACTGACATGCGGGTTGGAGAAATCTAAGAAAAGAGGGGATAAATAATGAACACTGCACTGAACAGATGAAGGAAAAAACAGTTAAAAGGAATATGTGATTAGGCATTATGTGTACGACAACAGTGAAGAATAAGAGATGCATAGCAAAGTGAACTGGGGGAGGAGTGGAAGGAGGAAATTATGCAACTATAAATGACTTTTTTTTCTTTTTAAAGTGAACTAGGAGTGGACAGGGAGGAAAATGTGCAACAATGAATGAATGAAAATCCAATTTTTCTGTAAACGTTCCTTAAAATCACAATAAAAAAAATAAAAGAGGAGATAAATAATGACCACTACATTTAAACAGATGAAGAAAAGAACTGTTTAAAACGAATATATGATTAGGCATTATCTGCATGACAACAATCCAGAATAAGAGGTGCATAGCCAAGTGGATGGGGGTGGGGGAGGGAGAAAGGGAGAAAATCATGCATCAATTAATAAATATTTAATTTGTGAACTGGCAGTGGAAAAAGTTCAACAATGAATGAATGAAAATACAACTTCTCTGTAAACGTTTGTTAAAATCATAATTAAAAAAAAACACTATAGGGTCGCTATGAGTCGTCTATGACTCGAAGGCACCTAACAACAATAACAACGACATAGAGAGAGTCACATTGCCCTAGTGGTCAGAAAGTTATGCTACCAAGCCCAACGTGGGTGATTTTAATATGCAGCCCTCAGGCCTGGTTCACATTGGGGTTTTTTGTGAAACATTCTTTTAGGTGGTATAGCACTAGTCTGTGCATTGCTGTACAGAGGTAACTTGTGGTTGCTGTGATGCTGAACACTGTGACACTGATGTGCCAAATACAATAATGGTTACCCTTGGTGGATGGTGTTGGCTGGAGCTTCCCAACTATAACAAGCCTGGAAGTAAGAATAGCATCCACTTCCAAAATAGCTTGCCTCCAGAAACTGTATGAACAGTGCTCAGGCCTTCCGTTTATGGGGTTGCTATGACTTGTCTACTACTCAACGGCACCTAACAACAACACAACTCACATTCAAAAGCAGGGTGTGGGGGGAGTGCAATGGGGCAGAAGTTTATCTGAGAAGGATAAGATGGAAGAATAATGATAAGAACAGTTTCTTCTACTTAAAGTTCTTTACTCTCTGATGCAAGCTGCAGAGTCTCAAAATGAAGTGTTTACTCTGAAAATTATTTTCTGGGTCATGGTGAAATGGGAGAAATCTCCAGGTTTGCGGATATTAGAGACCTAGATAAGCCATCTTATTCCTACTTCTCTCCTCCAGGCCAGCTACATTCAATCCCTACCATCTTACCTGGTTGAGCTGCTTGAGCCATTTGTACCCCACTGAGCATGGACTGCTGTTGGCTTGGAGCTCCTGCCATCTGCACCTGCTGTAATCCTGATGCTCCTGCAAGGATTGTCCCAGTTCCTGGTTGGCCTGGCTGACCAGGACCACTGCCACCCGATGGTCTCCAATTGGACAGCCCTTTTCCAAAGGCAACAGCTGCTACTAAGGCATTAGTGTCTGTGGGGTTGAAAGTCTGCTTGTTCTGCCGAAGACCTATAAAACAAAGGCTAGTGAAGAACAGAAGGTGTGCTTTAGGCCCTGAAATGAACCCAGCAGCTTGAGGACCAATGAGTGCCAAGGATTAGAGTTCCGCCGTAAGCAGCATTTAGACGCTGAATGAGAGGTCCCCCAAGCCTATCTCAGAATTCTCCCTTCTCATTTTGTCAATTACTCCCACCCTAATTAGGCCTTAATTAGGAGAAGTTAACAAAATGGATTCAAATTGTGCCTTATGTATCTCCTTGTATCCTCATTTCCCTACAAGATAATCATTCCTACTTTAATGATCTTCTTCACCTCTCCCTCTCCATCTTGATACCTCCACTTTCAGATTCTCGTTCCTCTTTGCTGATTTTCTCCAGAAGGTTTGAACACATTTTATTTAAGCTCTGGATCTGCTTCTGCAACACACAAATTTATGCTGAGATTAAAGTAAACAAGAAATGATTAAGGGAAGTTTCTTTCTCGTGCTCTTCCAGGGGTAACTTGTTGCTATTAGCTGTTGTTGAATTAGCCCCCACCTCACGGTAACCTCATGCACAAAACTGAACCATTAAGCTCCAAAGGGTTTTAAATGGCTGACTTTTCAGATGATCTCCAGGCCTTTCTTTCTAGTCTATCTTAGTTTGGAAGCATCACTGAATATTGTGCAACAGACAAATGCTTCACCCCCGGACTCAACTTAGGCACCCTGGACTCAACTTAGGGGTAACCAACTGTGCTAGACAGGAATGGCACTGCCTAGCTTCTTGTGAAGGGATTGAGAAGTTCAAGAGCACCAAGGCAGTGACTCAGTCCAACCTGGGCTGCATCAGCACCGATTCGTGCTGCATCTGTTGTCAGTTGCTTCTCCTGCTCTTCAACTTCAGGGTCAGGCTTAGTTCTCAAGTGGTCAGGAACGACCTCGTGGCTGAAAACAGGCACTCGTCCTTCAGTCTGCCGCTGCAACAGAGATTGACCGACTCTGTACTCCAAGAAGCTCAATCTGGCCCCACACAGTTATTTCAACAGGTAAAAGTACATTTTTAGGAAAAATACAATGTGAAACTTTAAATACCTAGCTTCCCAGGACACTGGTCCCCTTCTATTCCATCCTTTATTTCTAGCTCTTTACACTCTATCTCTACCACACTAAAGGGAAAATGAAATTTTTCCCTCTGTTACATTTTAAAGACTAAAATAGAAAAAAATCACAAAAAAATGGACTTTTTGTGAAAGATAAAATTTTGGAGAAGACCGCAGATTATTACGGTAATATTTGGGAATGTCCCCCCAGTCCTAGAAGGACAAAAAAAAAGCTTCCTAAATGTAGCCCTTGCTTCTTATTAACACTCATTATTCTATATTCAAGGGGGTTCTGGTGACCTAGTCTGGTAAGAAGCTGTGCTGCCATTCCAAAGGCACATGGTTCAAATCTACCAGCTGCTCTGTGAAAGAAATACGGGCAATCTCTTCTTGTGCAATTAAACTGCCTCTGAAAACTCTCTGAAGGGTCATTTATGCACTGGTTCAACTTGAGAGTACATCACAACAACATTCCGTATTCAGACCTTCTAGAATAATTAATGAACAATTATACTCTAAGCCTTCAACCAATCTTCCTCTTACCATGAGATCTTCATCCCGGTCAGGGGATAACACCAGAGGGATGATGACCTGGTTACGGAACAGCGGCGTCTTTTCATGCTTCAAGACCTTGTTCAGAGTGTTTAATTGTCCAGAGAGCAAGGCAAAGCTGTCTAGAACAGAAGGCCTAGGGTGGCAAGAAAGTGTGAGAATGCCCCATTCTTTACTGGGATAGTGAACAGCAAACCAACTTTAAAGAGCTCCCTCAGACAAGAAATGCCCAGATTCACACCCTAAAGATTCACAGTCTTGTGACTGGCCAGAACAATTTATGGCAATTGTGAAAATTGGGAAAGAGGAACATTTTTCAAGTCCTAACACAGATGTAGGAAAAGAGTTATTCATGGTTTGACCGGAGTTAGGATGACAGGCAAAGTAAAAACCACAGCTCCACTGTTATTAAAAACCCAGCCCCCTTGTTAGTCTAGAAACAGGATTCACACTTTTAGAGTAGGCCGTATTTGTGGTAATGTATCTAAAACCAATAGACATGAAGTGTATAGGCTGAGAAAGGACCTCCATATCATAAAAGTATAAAAGATAAAAATCAGAAGCTAAAAAGACTTGGGTTGGGGAAGTAGGCATTTCTTGACATTGCCATGCAGGTCCAAAGTCAAACTCTACTTGTTAAAGATTAGGAAACCAAGTTCTCTTATAATCAACAGAAGTTTGCAAATTAGTTAAGTGGTTACATCACTAGTGATATCCTTATTTCCCAGAAGGTCTAACCATTCTATCCAGAACCCTCCCTAACCTGCCCTGACAATACTTACCAGGTCAGCCGGTCATACTCGTTCTCCAACTTATAAATGAAACTTCCCAGTGAATTCTTCAGATCAGCTATTTGACTCAGCAGTGCATCTAATGATGCCTCAAGCTGCTTCTCCTCCCTCTGCACCAACAGAAACAGGATGGTTACTCAGACTATGGTACGCAGGCAGGAAGGATGAAAAGCCAGGGGGATAGTGTGCAATAACTACTAGTCAGTAGCACAGTATCTCACTAGCATAGGAAAGTCAGATTGGTATTTGGGTTACTTGTATTTATCAGTACCAATCCTCAGACCTTTCAACTTGTCCACCAGACCTCAATTCTTACTACCCATTTATTCCTTCCTTTTAATCCATTTTTGGCTTCCCTATTATTGTTGTTGGATACCCTCAAGGCAATTCCAACTCACAGTGAATGCAAGTGGCAGAGTAGAAGTGTCCTAAGAATTCTTTTGGCTATAATCTTTACAGAGGCAGATTGCGGGGTCTTTCTTCCTCAGGGTCTTTGAGCAGGCAGCTAGCAGATAAGCAATTAATTGTTGTGTCAACAAACCTCCTTTCTTCACCCCTTTTCACTGTTGGTGGAAGTGTAAAATGGTGCAATCACTATGGAAGGCTGTATAGCGCTCTCTCAAAAAGTTGCAAATAGAAAGATATCATTTGACCCAGCAATTCCATTACTGGGAATATACCCTAAAGAAACCATTACTGCTAACCAAGTAGATATATACACACCCATGTTTATTGCAGCTTTGTTCACAACAGCAAAGAACTGGAAACAACCTAAGTGCCTATCAATAAACAAATGGATGGAGAAGTGTGGTATATTCACACAATGGAATACTGTGCTACATTGAAAAACAAGGAACTCATGCAATATTATTCAAAATGGGTGATTCTGGAGGACATTATGCTGAGTGAAATATCTCAGTCACAAAAGGACAAATACTTCATAGTGCCACTGTTGTTGTAGAACAGGACTGACATCAAGGTTGGGGTAAGACTGAGAAAGATTGTATAAATTATGTGTACTGCATTGAAACAGATGAGAGGACAGTTTAAAAGCGGTATATGATTGGGTATTATGGTTATAACAAGAGTCCAGAATAAATGTTGCATAGTGGAGTAGACTCGGGGGGTGGGGGTGGGGATTGTATACCAATGAAGGAATTTTTCTTTTACTTTTCAAAGAGAAGAGCAAACTGGGGG